TAGGGAGGTGGTGTACGGCTGCGGCGGGGGGACGCGAGCGGCCGGACACTTACGGGAGCACCACGGGCACCAGTGGGACCAGCAGGGCCAGGGGGACCAGCTTCACCCTGGCGAGGGGGAGAAGGAAAAACGGGTTAAATCCTCTGGAAATGAGGCACTGAGACGTGGCGGGTTGGAAGGAGCATCCGCTGCGCCGCATCCCTGCCCGGTGCCACCTCACCTTGTCACCAGGAGCACCAGCTGGGCCGGGAGGGCCGATGGGACCGGTGAGACCTCGGAGTCCGTCTTTGCCAGGAGCGCCGTCAGCACCTTTGGGACCGGGATCGCCCTGTGGGAGAAGAAGGCCACGTTGCATTAGAGCTCATCATCCTCCTCGCCGCAGTGCTCCGCACCTCCGGACCCTGCTGCTTCCAGCCAGGAGAGGCGGGTCTCCAGAAGAAAGCCCCAGGTTGTCTCCTGGCCTTCAAGGGCCAGGATTGTGCAAGGACACGAGTGGGACAAGGCTTCGCCCTGCAGGAGGGATGACGCATCCAGCCCCCAAGGATGGAGATAGGAGTGGGAGGACACAGCGTGGGGAGAGGGACCCCAGGACGTGCGGGGACACCTACTCTGTCACCCTTGGCGCCTGGCAGGCCGGCAGCACCACGTTCTCCGGGCATTCCCTGCAGACCGGGGGGCCCTTGGTTTCCAGGAGCACCAGGAGCACCAGCATCACCCTGGGAAGAGAGAGGAAAACCCACATTAGTGAGAAACCAGAGCAAATGGCAGAAAAACCCTCGGCCCAGCAGTCCCCCTTGCAGGTGGCCCTGCAGGTCCCATGTCACCAGCTCCCGGCAGAAGTGGGGAGCAGAGGAGACCATGACCCCCCTTTTGGGCTGCCCTAGAGGAGCCACCAGCTGGGGACAGCCCATGGGGTGGTCCCCACCCCTTGTGTCCCACTGGGGTGCAGAGGGGACCTCGCACCTACCTTAGCACCGTCGTTACCGGGAGCACCATTAGCACCGCGGGGACCCTGGGGACCAGGGGGGCCTTGGACACCGCGTTCGCCGGGGAAGCCTCTCTCGCCCTGGAGAAGGGAGGGAAGAGCCGGTTACGGAGGCGGCAGCACAGAGGGGAGCTCGGACAGCGGCTCCGATGGGAAGCCAAGACTTGACTTACTCTGGCACCAGCGGGACCGGGGGCACCAGCATCTCCGGGGACACCCTGTGTGGGGAAGCAGAAGGATTTCGGAATCAGCACGGGAAAGAGGTGAGCAACCCTGCACCCCACCATGGAGGCCCCATCCTGCCCCAGCACCCTCTGCTCTCCTGCCACCCCAGGCCGCTCTGGGGCTCTGGGTATCTTTAGGGAAGGCCAAGGGGTCTCCAACCCCTTGGAGCGATGGGACAGCCCCAAGAGGAGAAGGGATCCCACAGGGATCCCAAACCGAGGTCGGGTCCCCTGCGCTGCTGCCTCCCTGCTCGCTCCAAGGAGGCTCGGTGAGGCCGGAACGCTTGGGGGCTGGTCTGACCGGGAAGTTGGCCAGGGTTTCCCTGGCTCGGGTGGGCCGCGCAGGGTGCCTGTGGCAACCTGGTGTCCATGTCCACCAGCTGGGGGTGGGACAAGGATGGGGAGCCAGCAGGGACAGCCCCCAGGTGATGCCCCCACTCACCTGCTCGCCGGGCTTGCCAGCCTCACCAGGGGGGCCAGCGGGGCCGGGCAGACCCTGCGGAGGAAGAGGAGGAGAGGAGAGATGTTACAAAGGCAGGTGACAAGAGCATGAGCAACAATCCCATCATGGAGCGTCTCCTTCCCGGGAAAAAGGGGCTGTTCCTCACCTGGAAGCCAGGAGCACCAGCGGGACCTTGTTCACCTCTCTCTCCAGCGGGTCCCTGCAGGAGATGGGGCAAGGATGAGGGCAGGCGGTTGCCCCCTTGTCCTGGTCCCCAGGGGCCCAGCACAGCTCCAGGTGGGGAAGGGATTATTCATACTCACGGTAGGGCCAGGGGGACCTTGGGCACCAGCTTCACCGTCTTTGCCAGCAGCACCCTTAGGAAGAGGAGGAAGAGAGTATTCAGAGCAGGGTTTGGTCACAGGTGACATTGGAGAAGGCTCCCAGCCAGGCAGACCCGACCTTCAGGAGCTTCTGGAGGGGACCCCAAGCAATGAACCCATGGGACCATGGAGAACTATCCCTAAGGGTGCAGGAGGACGGAGCTGCAGCACCTTGGCAGACCAGAGAAGCCCCAAGCTGCCCTGGGACGTGTCACCGCCTTGCAGAGCTTTTTGTCCCTGCTCCAAACCCTCTGGCAGTGACACACCTGACTCAGAGCCACTGCCACCCACTGTTCTGGCCATTTTTTTTTTTCCGTGGAGCTTTCCTAGGGCCTTGCTCTGTCAGACCTAGGTCTCCCTGGCAAAGCCCAGCTCAGAGCTGCTCCCAGAGAGGGGTACCTTGAAATGGGGTACTTTGGAGGGGGGTACCTTGAAGGGGATACCTTGGAATGGGGTACCTTGGAGCAGGGTACATTGGAGGGGGGTATGTTGCAGCCTTAGGACAGGTGAATACTCACAACAGCACCGGGGGGACCAGGAGCACCTCTCTCGCCAGGTTTGCCGGGTTCACCCTAAAAACGAGAGCAGAATGAGACCAATACAGGACCATGACCCCCCCAGGCTTTGCCCCCCTCACCAGGATGTGGCTCCTCATTGCCCTTCCTGGGGACATGTCCCCTGAGCCACCCCTTCCTGTGGTGCCCATCCCAAGGGAGCCAATGCATCCCTCTGCATCCCAGGAATGGCCCAGCTCATAGGAAGCCCTTGAGGATGAGCGTGCCCCAAGCTGGCCTTGGGCAGTATCGTCCCTTGTCACCATGGGATGTGGCTCTTGCTGATACTCACTGCAGCGCCTTTGGGTCCAGGGAAACCCATGACACCAGCTTGGCCTCTGGCTCCGGGTGGGCCTGGGGGTCCAGGGCGGCCGTCTTGACCAGCGGGGCCCTATCGTGGGGGGAAGCAAGAGCCCCGTTAGCAAAGTCCATGGTGAGCCAAGAGGTGGGGAGGAAGGAGCAGGGGGTCATCCTGGGATCACTTACAGGGGGACCAGTCTTGCCATCAGGACCGGGGCTTCCAGGGCTTCCAGTCAGACCCTAGAGGAGAGCAAATATGGGTCAGAGCAAATATGGGTTAGAGCAAATATGGGTTAGGGCATCAGGCTTCCTCTGCAGGCAACAAGGAGCATGCTGCTCCCTGTAAAAATTGAGTGATTTAGCATCCCTGGAAATGGCTTTCTCCATGGAAAGAGAAGGAGCTCTGGAGCTTCCATCCAGCGCCTGGAGCAGGGCCACCAGCAGCCATGGTCGTGTTGACGTGGCTTGGTGCTGCTCGCAGCCAGGCCTGCCAAGCTCTGCGGGCTGCCCTCGCCCAGCCTGACCCTGAGCCACCTCCTCCACGTCCCTCCGTGGCTCCTCGCACTCACCTTGGCACCAGGGAGACCAGGTTCCCCAGGGCGTCCAGCTTCACCAGGAGATCCTTTGGGACCAACAGCGCCGGGGGAGCCACGCTCGCCAGGGGGACCCTAGGGAGGGATGCGAGAGGAGACGGGGCTTAGTCCAGCTGGAGGGTACGGACCAAGGCAGGGGATGAGGGCCATGGCATGGGAGGAAGCAAGGGCAAAGAACCAGCCTCAGGATCAAGTGACATGGAGCAGGGCAGGGGGCAAGATGACAATTCCCCTCATATCCCCACTGCCCTATTCAGGACACATCTTTTCCATACAGGTTGGGAGGACAGTTTTTGGTACCTACCTTGGGACCAGCAATGCCATCAGCACCAGGGAAACCACGGCTGCCAGGAGCACCCTGAAAAGGACACAAGAGCGGTCAGTGCGGCACGAAGGGCAGGTGGGGTGGCCGAGGACTCTTGGGCTGCTGGAAATGGGAATAAGATCTAGGCAATGGCGCAGCTTCAGAGGACTTGGGGGTTCAGGTGAAAGCTGCTCTGATGTGGGCTTCAGAAACAACCCTCAGGGCTTGTGAGATGCTCCAGTGGAGATCTCAAGCATAGGGCTCTGGTGGAATGAGAGTGCTGGAACAGGTGGGCATTCCAGGTGGGAATTTCACCATCCCAACACTTGGTTCAGAAGGTGTCTGGCTCTCTGGCAGAAGCCAGAGTGCCCAGGAGATGGAGCCCTTGGGCAAGAGGTCTAGGGACAGGAGCAGAACTGGGTCTTGGAGGAAGAGGAATGGGAATGGGATGCAGCTGGGGAGAACTCCTACTTACACGTTCGCCAGCGGGGCCGGGAAGCCCAGCAGGGCCGGGCTCACCACGGGCTCCTCTCTTGCCTTCTTCACCAGCTGGACCAGGGGGACCTTGGACACCAGCAGGGCCCTGGAGAAGGAGGCAGAGGTGTGGGTGTCCGCAGGGCATGTGGGACCAGGCTGAGGTCTCATCTGCCAGCAGGACACCGAGGGGCTGTGAAGGGGTCACTTACGGGTTCGCCTTTTGCACCAGTGTCTCCTTTGTTGCCTGGAGCACCGGGTTCACCCTGGAGGTGGAAGGAGAGAAAAAAAAAGAGTTTTTTAATGCCAGGTTCATAAGCAAAAACAGTCACGAGCATCGTCATATTGGGATTGTCACAAGGGGAGATGTTCGGCACCTCCCAAGGAGCTTTCAGTGCCCACCCCAGCACCCAAGGCTGGAGATGATGGGGTTGGGATGGGAAACATCTCCAGACAGGGCAATTGGAGCAGAGGAAGGGGCTTGAACCCCGAGAGAGAGTGGGAGGCTCTTGCTTAGGAAGTGGCCAGAGCAGCCGCAGAGGCAGGATCAGGGCTGAACTCTGCTGCTCAGCATCTCTGCCCAGCCTTGCAAGGGGAAGAAGGCCCATCACAAGCAAGATAGAGAAGGACAATGACACTTACACTGTTACCCTTGGGACCGGGGGCACCGCTGGGACCCTGAGGTCCAGAGGGACCACGAGCACCGGGGAAGCCAGGAGCACCAGCAATGCCAGGAGCACCCTAAAAGGGGCAGAAAAGGCGGTGAGGGAGCCACACGGACTTTGGTCCGAACATCCATGAGGAAAGACAGGATGAAGATGGATACTCACAGTTGCGCCTTTGGCACCAGGTTGACCATCAGCACCAGGGTTACCCTGAAGGGGAGGAAAACGAAGATGAAGGTTATCCCAGGGCTATCAGGATGCAACGTCAATGGGAATGAGCCATTGGATGCCACTTACAGCAGGACCAGCAGCACCAGCAGGGCCAGGAGGACCAGGCTCACCACGTGCACCTTGAGGGCCTTCGCTACCGCGAGCGCCCTGGGGACCAGTTTCACCCTGGAGAGGAAGGGGAGGAAGCAGAAGCCATGAGCACATGTGCTGCTGTGAAAGCTCCTTACATCCCTGGACTTTCAGGACCTCCACCTCTCTTCCCAGTGGAGCATGGGTATGGGAAAATGGATAAATTCCTTGTTCTTTTGTAGTCTGGTTTTCCACAGAGTCCTTTGGCCTGAAGAGACATCTGAGCCATGCAAAACACTCAGAGATTTAGCTGGAAAGTCCTTCATCTCCACTACAGATGAGAAGTGCAGCCACTTTGGCTACAGATGTGCCTGGCACCGAGCATGGATGAACCCATAACAGTCTGGGCAAGGTTCAGCTCTGCTCTCTAAGTTTCAGGCCACATGGGAAACGCATTTGACACTCAATCCTTCCTCCTCCCTCTCCCTGTTTCCACCAGCTTTTCAGCATCTCTGCCAAGCCCTAGAGATCTAGAGGTCCCACCTAAGAGAAGAGGATCAAGCAGGTTCCTACCTTAGCACCAGCAGCACCGGGGAAGCCAGGGGGACCAGCTGGGCCAGTTGGACCCTATAGGGGAGAGAGAGAGAGAGGGGGCATGTGTCAGAGAAGCAAATCCAGTGCACATCTGGAGCTGGCGGGTTTTCTGGGCAGCAGAACTCTGGACTCCAGCCAGGATTTCCAAGCTGTGGTCATGGAGCTGAGCTGTGCTTTGGCGTTGGCCAACTGGCACCAGATGTGGCTCCTGAGCAAGACCTGCATGCCGAGGGCAGGGCAGCCCGAGGAGGGATGCTCAGGCCTGCCCAAAGGTGCAGAAGGGCTACTCACAGCAGGGCCGGATGGACCGGGGCGGCCTCTCTCGCCGGGAAGACCACGAGGACCCTGCGGAGGAGAGCGGACACGTGTCATCATGAGGAGAGCTTCCTTCATCATGGGCCTTCTCCCAGCCCCTCCGCCCCTGCCCTCCCTGCATGGACGTCTCAATAACCTGCCTCCCTGTCCCACTGTCCTGGGACGTCTTTGGAGAACCAGCCCTAGAGGACAAGCTATCTCCCCACCACCTTCTTGTCCACCACACAAATCCCTATGCACAATAGGGCTGCATTTCTCCCTTCCCGCTTTTCTTTTGCATCTGGCTCTTGTGTTGAGGTTGGATAGGGAAGAAGAGACCTCCCTCCCTCACTTACCATCTGTCCAGGAGCGCCATTCTCACCGGGGCTACCAGGCTCACCCTAGGAACAGGGGCAAAAAAATCAGTGATTTCCAATGGAAATGAAGGAGAGAGAAGTTTGAAGAGAAGGCAAAGATGCCCTTGTAGGGGCAGTTCCTCACCTTGGGGCCAGCTGGACCGGGCTCACCCTTGGCACCATCCAGACCACTGAAACCCTGGAGCGCAGGAGAGAGAAGAGTGAGGGTCAGGAGAAGACCTCGCTGCCTTGGTCAGGGTCAGGATTTGGGTCTAAGCGGGGTTCCAGCCCCTCGCGCCGTGAAGGATGGGGGGACCATTGGGTGCTCTTGCAACCCAGGCGACATGGCCCTGCAGTAGCCACGTGCTCCCCTGCCCCATGTGCCCACAGGCTCATGCCTGGGTTGGGGATGTCAGAAGCCACACGGGGCCTTCAAGAACTCCCAGATCTTTACAGCAACCAAGAACCAACTTACTCTGTGACCCTTCATGCCTGGCAGGCCAGCAGTTCCGGGGAGACCACGTGCACCCTAGGAGAAAAAGCCAGGGAGTGATCAGAGAGGCCCATGGAGATGCAGGGGTTGCTGTCCTCTGCCCCCTATTCCCACCTCCCAGGGAGCAGCTTCTGGGCTCATCCTTGCTCCTGGGCTTTGCCATCAGCTACTCCAGGCCCAGCCAGACCATGCATGGATGGACAAGATGTTTTCTGCCAACAGGGACCAACACAGTGGCCATGACCTGTTCATGGATGCCCATGGAGGAGGAAGCCACCATCTCCCAAACATAGCAGACCCTGAAGACATCTTACCTGGGGTCCAGGAGGACCGCGCTCACCGGGACGGCCGGGCTTTCCAGCTTCACCCTAAGGGAAGGCAAAGAGAAGGACAACTCTTTGGAGGCTGATCCTGGACCAGGTGACCCCTGTTCGCCTGAAGACCTTGAATCCACCGGCCCACCATTGCTGGGGACTTGTGGCCCCATGCCCAGCAAGGGGAGATCCCCTTGTGCCCACAGGACACGGGGTCTTGCAGCAGCTACTCACATCATCTCCGTTCTTGCCAGGGGGGCCGGCTGGACCACGAGGACCCATAGGACCCTAGAAGAGATGGGGGTGATCAGGGGTGAGGGAGGACTTGGCACCTAAGCAAGATTTCCCCACCGCCCTCCCACAGGCTGGGTGTTCCCAGGCCAAGGCAGTGCCATTCCCACTACTCCTGGCCCGGAGCCGAGACGGCTCCAGCTGGAGAATCCCTCAAGTGGTGAAGGAGGGAATGGCAAGGACGAAGCCAAGGCTTGGGCTGGGAAAACCCAGTAATCCATCCCAGACTGACAGGATATGAGGAAGAAGGAGAAGATCAGCAAGACTTACAGAAGCACCAGGCTCTCCAGGCTCACCAGGGGGACCTTGGAAACCTTGAGGGCCCTACAGAGAGGAAAAAGGGGGAAAAAAAAAAAACAGATTAGAAAGCAAGTGTCACAGTCTGGGGACATTGCCCCACAGATGACAGTGGTACCCAGGTGGGGTGGAGTGGGAGCTGTGCCAGGTGGGTGCTGTCACTTGTCACCAGTGCCAGGAAGGGATGGGAGGCCACCTCCTGGCCTGGCGCTGTCCCTGTCCCCTCCCTACCCCTCCATCGAGGGGGTTTCTTCCAACCAAGAGCCCAAGGCTGGGCCCGTGGGGTGGAAGGTGGAAGGCTGGGATTCGGAGCGGAGCTGGGGACATGGAGGAGATACTCACGGGAGCGCCGGGAGGGCCGGGGAGACCGCGGGGACCAGCTGGACCCTAGGAAGGGAGCAAAGGAAACGTGAGCAGAGAGGCCACCGCGTCCCGGGGTCACCGCCAGCGCCGGCTGCGGCTCTTCCCGGGGCTTCCCACCCCGGCTCCCGCCTCCTCCCGCTTGGCAGCCGCCGCCTGCCCGGGAACCACTCCCGCCCCGCTGCTTTTCTCCTTGTTTTACAACATTCCCACCTCCTCCCTGCCGGCGCAGCGGCCACAGCCAGTGCCAGCACGGCGCTGGGTGCCGGATGCTCCTGGAATGCGTTTTGGAAAGGGGGTGGCCGCGGTGGCCGGCGGGGGATGCTCACCATGGGTCCGGGCACGGGCATGCCGCCAGCTTTCTCGTCGTATCCGTAAGACATTTGAGGAGCAAAGTTCTGCAGGAGGGAAGAGACGCGTGAGCAGGGAGGGCATCGGGGCACAGGGTGCCTGTCCCGTGTCCTCTACTCCCCCCGCCGAGGCCAGGGGGACCAGGGGGGCCGGGGGGTCCTGGGAGGCCGGGCTGTCCGGGGATGCCATCTCTGCCAGGGGGGCCGGGGAGTCCCTGTGGAGAGAGCAACATGCGGGGATTAGGATACTCCAGGATGCTCCGATGGGCAGCCGGGATGGGCCCCGGAGCTGCGTGGTGCGTGGATGCGGGAGCAGCACGGGAATACGCACCCTGTCTCCTCTGGGGCCGGTGTCTCCCTTAGGACCCTGGTGGGGAGAGAGGAGAGGCAGGTGATGAGAAATGGATGGATGCGCCCGAGAAAATAAGGAAAAATAAGGAAATAACCCTCGGGGCGAGAGTTTGCCTGGGGCAGCGCTGCCGGTGCTCACCTCTACTCCTGTGCTCTCCGAGTAGGTAGAGGGAGCTGGGGAGAAAGGAGAAGGGTCAGTCGGAGGAGCGGAGGCCGCTCGCGCTTCCGCGGGCCCCGCTCGCTGTCCCCGTCCTGCCGCGCCGGGGACGGACGCGCAGCCGGGGCGGGGGACAGGGCAGCGGGCGCGGGGTCCCGGGGACGGTACCGTGGCTCTCGGGGCAGATGGGGCAGCATTCTCCGAAGGGGATCTCGGCGTTGGGGCAGTCGGAGGTGTCCTCGCAGATCACCTCGTCGCACAGGATGTTGCCGCTGTCGCACACGCAGATCTGGCAGGGCTCGGGTTTCCACACGTCCTTGTCATTGTATGTTAGTCCATCCTGTACACAGCTCCCGGTTTGGACTGGGGGGGAAAAACGGAGGCGGGGGACGCGGGGGCCGAGTGAGATTTACGCTCGCGCCGGGACGCCTGGCGATTCCGACACGTCCTTTCTGCCTTCGCCCTGCTCCCCCCGCTCTCCCCTCCTTCTTTTCCTCCCTCTCCTGGAGCTTTTCTCCCTTCATCTGGTTCTCATCAGCCCATCGCGGTGACACAGGAAAAGCAGCGCCGCAATAAACTCTTCCCACTTACTTTGGAATTTAAACAAAACCTCCAGCCAGGGCTTACGTCCGACCGCAGCGGCGGCGCCCGGGGGGCCCGGGCGAAGGGAAAAGACCCCCCC